TCTGAATATTTGAAACACTGACCTATAAAGTTTCTTACATGATTATCATTTCATTTGATATAACAGGTAGACATTAGGAACAAGCATCAACATGAATTTTGGTAATATTTGTAAGTTCTTTTTTTTTTTTCATTTTTCCAATTCTGATATCAAAATACTAAAATAGTTATTCCAACTGACAAATATGTTTCACCTGGATCTTTCTCTGATGGCTTTAAAACATAAGTATTTCCACAAGTAACTGCCACTGGGAACATCTGTGTTGAATAGATATAAAAAGATAAATGATGGTAAAGGCATACAACTGAATGAGATCTCTAAAATGCAAAGTCCAGGTGTGTAAACAATTAAAGTAGATCTTATAATATTATCCAAGAAAGGCATGTTCACATACCCATAGGGGAATCATTGCAGGAAAGTTGAATGGGCATATCCCAGCACACACACCAAGAGGTTCTCTAATACTATATGTGTCGATACCATTTGAAACATTGGATGCATATTCACCCATCTGTAATGTTGCCATTCCACAAGCATGCTCGACCACCTCTGGTAAAATGAAACCACAAAATTAATGAACTTAAATTTCCATCCAAAAAATTAGACTGGTCATACTTGGATCTCAGTTATAAAATACAATTCAAGGAATCATAAGGGGTGCAAGACCATGGCCTCCCAAGGCATCCAAGAGAGTATGAAATTTGTAAAAACAATAAAGATTATAATCTAAACTGACCTAAACCACGAAAAACATCACCCTGAGCATCCTTCAGTGTCTTCCCCTGTTCAGTTGTAATATTCAAGGCAAGCTTATCCTGAAACAAGTACATAAAATCCAATATTAAAACATTCAATCCCAATAAAAGTTCAAGCTCCAGCTGGATTACCATGTCCCTTCGGATAAGCTCTTGAAGTTTGAACATAATCCGCTGCCGTGTTGTCAAGGGTACATTTCTCCATTGTGGAAATGCACTTTTTGCGGCACCTACTGCTGCTTTGAACTCTTCATTAGTAGTTAAAGGAACCCTCGAGACCACCTCTTGTGTTGCCTATCACGCCCACAAATAAAAGATTCACATCTTCCATGAAAAATGCTATCAGAAAGAACTTTGGTCAGAGTTTTAGCTTTGCACTTATTAAGTCCTTCAGTTACAACAGCACACATGTACACACATGTATACATTCTGTAAATTCAGACTTAAATGGAGTTAGAATTAAAGATCCACACCCTCCCAAGTTAACAGGTTATGTTGGAACTGGATTAAATCCTTGGGCATGATCTCAGCAATAATTATGGTTGTGTTTTAGCTAAAATGAACTGTTGTGTTTTAGCTAAATGTCTCAAACAAACTGTAAGTTCATTTTCATATACTTTGTTTTAAGAATGGAAAGAAGTGATCGATAGCAAAATTAGTAGCAAGAGTACCATAACTCTGTGACATTGTAGAATGAAGTAGAATCACACCTAGATCAAATTACAAGAAACAAGTCCAATTTAAGTTGTATTTCTCATCATCCAAGCCACTCTACACAAGTGAAATAATCAAACAGGCAACCAAATCTTTGAATGGGTAGATACTAATAATGCTTGAAGTAATCTTTATATCTACGAATCCTGAAATTTCAGATCGTTCATTAACATGCATCCGCGTGTTCTTTGGGTACAAGCAGACCATTAAATTTATCAAGCCTATCAGTCACAATGACAAATTCAATATTTAAAACTCAAAATTCAGCATAATCATATAGAAATAGGGATCTAATGAGCCAATTGACAACGAAATGTGTAAACTGGAACGATGATTAACTGATCCAAGACAAACATGAACCGTACTCGACAAACTTACAGGGTTTATAACATCGATCCAATCCTCCGACTGTGACTCAACGAACTCTCCCCCGATGAGATTCCGAACCCTCGGCTGCAATTCCTCATCAAGTTAATCCTTCTATCCAGAAGGGCACGATGTTTCGCGGAAAGGATCAAGAGCAAAACGCATCAATCGGAAAAAAGATCCGAACGCTTACGGGATGGGTTCCGTGGATCGACGACGCTTCCGCAGCGGTGGATAGGCGAAGGACCCGAAGGGCGGTGGCGGAACACCGCCATGCCCGAAAGCCGGCAACTGCAGAGGAAGAGAGAAGGTGTGAGAAAGAGTTTGAGAAACGAAATTTCGGGGATTAACGGCGGAGGATTAGGGTTTTAAGGAGCGGAGAGGGGAGGGGAAGGCGGTCACCTCGGTGAAGCGAAGAGCGCAGCATGCTTGGGCAGGCGGCGGAGGGAGATGGAATGAGTATAGTTTGGACTCCACATCATTCGTTCATATACATATATATATACACGCATATACGCAGGCTGACGTACAGCATCCTTACTTAAAAATCGGACCCGCATCAGGTACCTTTCCTGTGATTGTAACATGGGTCCCACGATTACATTATTGCTTCCAGTCACAAGTCAGGTACTACGCACGGGTATGACACGTAATGGTCCACGGAATGAGCTTATCGGACAGGTGCGGAGCATTCGTATAGATGTACATCCTTTTTTTACCAGCGGTTCATTCCTCACGCGCCACAGATTGCCCGTTTGTGAATGGACAAAGAATTGGGCCCACATGGGGTCCATATCTTGCTCCAGTGGAGGCAGGTAAGATCTATCGCCTAAGACAGAAGCGGGCGGAAGGTGTTCGTGTTTGATCCGCGGTACATGGTGCTTGCGGGACCCACCTGGCACGGATAAATATTGGCTGACACGTGAACCGGTCAGCGTGAAGTGGCATTAGAATCCAGAAACAAGTCACGAACTCCATCCGTTGTACTTGTTGAGTCACCCATGACGCCATCATAATGATTTCACTGGTCTCCGTATGTAAAATCACCCATGACGCAGAAGTAATTATATATATATATAATAATGATATCAATGTAGAATATAAAACATATGAAGTTTATATTGCCTGAGAAATACCAAGTTTGAAGTACTCCAAATGTACAGTGTTCTATGTCTCAATTAGTTAAACAAAGTAGGAATCACCATCAGAAAAAGAGACGGAAAAACCAAACCACGTGATGAATCATTTGTTGGTTCTATAAGAACTAGACATCATATAAATTCACTGTTTCAATCAACACTAAGGATTGATGTTTATGGTGCTGCCTCCCTCGATAGCAATCGTGTCTGCGTTCTTAACACCGATCTCAAGCTTCTCCCAGATGAAGCTGACGCTACCGCTGCCTTCAATCCTTAGGTTTAGATCCTTCGCGAGAAGGATGATCAACTCACAGCACTCACACTTGTTGACGGTGCGGTCCTTGTCCAGGAATCCACAGCCGTCGTTGCGGCACGTAGGGCATATAGTATCGCCGTTGTCGTCTTCTCCTTGAGAAATGTCAGCATTCGGTTTGGTGTTACGGCCCATCTGATCACTGTTTGAATCTGCACTGTGATCTTCATCGCCGTTTTGGGCGTTGCCTCTGCTCGACTGCCTCGTCCACGCTTCCATGACGAGGGCTGCGGCCGAGGGGTTCTTGTGGGGGTGTGTCAGGATGGACATCTTCCGGAATTGCTCCCTTATCTTGCGCAGGTCCGCCGATCGGTGAATGCTTTTATGTATGTAAATGTTTTTATGTTTTTATGTATATAAAAAAAAATTTCTCTCTTCTGAATATTCGAAATATAGGTAAGATCCAATCAATTTTACTAACTCAATTCGACAATCAAAATCAATCTTATCAAATTTAAACATGAAAACCAAGTCTATTTGGATAATAATATCTGACATAAGCCAAACTTCAAGTAATCTATTACGTGAATTCAATCCCACAAGGATGGACATATAATTTTGTGTTTTTGTTTAATTCGCTTATGGTGTTTTCAATAGCATTTATAATATTTTATTAATGCATTAAAATACTATAAAAAATTATTAAAGAGATACTATAAATGATGTAATATTACGTCTCATTAATTGGCATTGCTCATATATTATTATAATATTATATTTTTTAAATTATAGTTAGTTTAACCGATGTAAGGAGTTCATTTAGATTATTTATATTATTTTTAAGTAGAACCTATAGTAAGTCGATTTTTTATTTTTATTTGGGTAATATTATGTTAACTATTATAAATACCTGTTTGAATATAATATTATTGAATCTCGGATTTTGATGATGAAACAATTGATAGTATTTATGTTTTGATCTGCATTTTGAGTGACGTATGATGCTTCGATCAAGATAAGACAATTAAAGTAACAAGAATCATATTGGGCCGGAGGAAAACATGTCAGAAGATTGAAGGTCGATCCGAATGATCGGTCGACGTATCAACGAAAGACTTCGGGCCATGAATTCGGGTATTGACGTAATTTTACTGTTACACTAATTCACCCCCCCTCTCTTAATGTCGACCATGTTCCTAACAAATATGATATATTAAATAGTTTATAGTGTATTTGATTTCATATGACTTATTTATAAAGTTTTTAAGTAGGTCTTATAGTATGATGGTTAAAACACTATAACAAGCAAAAACACTATAACAAGTGAAAAATTAATAAAAAAGTAATAATTTAAAAACTAAAATATGAATATTTTATAATAAAAAAATTTACTCTAAATTAAATATATCTCCAAGGTGGTTAAGATGTAAGGATTATGAATCTTAACAAAATCTAAGCCTACTTAATATTGGTTTAATTAAGTTTTTATTATTTTAAAATATAAATACATAAAAGTATGCTTAATATTTTTAGTATCATAATAAAATTTTAAATGATATCAATGTAAACTTAATGGAGATCAACTATGACGGTATATAGGTTTTGCTGGGGCTAAGCGAGACAGATGTAATTTAGCTTAAAAAATACATCAATGATCATGGTTCGTTGAATACGAACGGGACCGCACCGGATTCTAGTAATCAGGACCGTCCGATTTCTTGACCAGGTTAAACTTAAATGAGCACCGCGAGGCGTCCTATTGCTGATTTCTCATGGTCTTATAAGTATACGGAACTCTGATTTAACTCCCTAGGGTTTCTATCTTCGTGCTTCGTTGTTCCGGTAGGGTTCCAGCATGTTCTTCGTCTACCCTCTTTTGCGATCTTTTATTGGTGTCCTGATGATATAGGAACCGAGAGATGGATCGATCTGGAAATTTTTTATCTTTGTGGTTAACGCCATATTTCTAGGGTTCTATTTTGATCGATTGTGTTGCCCTTTTTCGTTTCTTTTTCTTGTTTTTAGATATTGAGATTTTGAGCGGAGATGTCGGCGAAGGAAGAGAACCGGATTTTTGTAGGAGGCTTGTCGTGGGACACCACGGAGCGGCGGCTGGAGGGGGAGTTCGGCCGCTTCGGGAAGGTTATCGAGGCTCAAGTATTGATCGTCCGCTCATCTTTCAATTTTTTTCAGCAATTAAGTTTTTTCTTGTGTTATGTGTGATGCTTCTGTTGGTTATTGAAATTATAACTTAGTGTGTGTTTGAAGGATCGAAACTTCAAGGAATTTATCATTTGTTTAACATTATTTTTTTAATATTCGTCTGTTTAGAGAAAAAAATTAGAATTTTATTATACGAAACACGTTATGTTGTAGACTTTTTCATGTGTATACAAGTCATAGGCGGACCGATAGACTTGGATGTCATGAGATAATTCTTTCCTATAGTTCTTATGTATTATAAATAATTAAGGTTTTAGATGATATTCATTTCTTTTCTAACATGATGTTGTTTGTCGTGTATCATTGTGGCATCTGTTTTCTGAACCTTTGTATATTCCATTGCTAATATTTTGTACTCTTATAATGATTCCACTATTTTTTTTCTTAATGCTTAGCTTTGCATGAATATCAATCTTCGTTCCACTTTTATTGGTGCATGTGACAACAGAACTCCTGTCTAAGTTTCTGAAGCTAACTATTAAAAAGGAAGGGTTGTTTGTTTTTCCTCTTGATGAATGACCAAGGAGCTACAGACACTCTTTTGGAAGCTGATGAGTCTGCCACTTTCTGTTATCATTCTGTCAGCATTGTTTTAGTTAACAGACACCTGTGAGTGCATTTATGAGTAGAATGCTGGCTCAGAGTGATGCTTCCAGTTCTTAGAGTTGAATATTTGATATAGAGCAGTCAATGTTGAGACAAATCTTTGAAACACAATAGCCTTGGTGACATATCTTGGAGTGGATCGTTCGTTTTGATATTGGCAGACGACATTTGCAAAATGCTATATTAATGCCATACTCTGATGGTTTGTGATTCTATGTAGCACTTAAATATAAACTATCCAAGGGAACTCACGATGCCTGCTTTTAGTGGTCATCTAAGGCTTGGCTGTTATTTGATAAAGGTGCTTCATTGTTTGCCAAAACACTGTCAGAAGAGCAGCTTTTGTGATAAAGAATTTAATATGTTACTGGGATCCCTGTTATCTTTGAGGTTTGCTGTCTACAGTATGCATGATCGTCCAGAAAAACAATCTCAAGATTATGCTGCACAATCTACTCTTCATTGGGCTGCATTGCAGATCATAGAAGGTTTTAAATTTTAGTGTCAGGCTTGTTTAGTTTAATAGCCTTTTAACTTTAACTGAAAACTTTGAATTTAAAGGGAAGAATGCTAGATGCATTTGACTAGATCATTCACATCTAATATTGTCCATCAGAAGGGGAAAATAATGTGTGACCTCAAAACTCAGTTCAATGATTGATTGTTTCTTTATATGGCTGGCCTCCTGGAGTACTTTGTCACTAAGTTCATATTCTTGGTTTCTATTTTTTTCTGCTGATAAATCCATTGCAAGTGTCTTCTCTAGATAATATCATAATACATCTAAATTGCTTGATCTGGGAATGTCTTCTTGGCAACACTGAATGATGGGCTTATTATACTTCATGCATTCAATCTGTGCAATGCAGCATGGTTTTTGAACTTTGGTCTTTAGAGTGATTTAGATGGTTGTTTAACAAGCACAGAGACCACAGGGACTGGACAATTTACATGGAAAACCAACTGGAAGTTGAAAACTTTCTTCTTGGTGATGGTTCAAGATCATGCAACAAAAAAATGTGAAAATGTACTGAATGTGGGAAGGGTGTAGAACAGTGTTCCTGATCTAATATTTTGGTTGGTGATGAATTGGTATTTGAAGCCATTATTAGGAGAGAAAATAGTATATGCAGAATAAATGCTGATTTTTTTTCACAATTTGTCAGATTCTGTTATTGGTCTTTGGATTAGTGTCTGAATCATATCAAGCTCTGGACCATCATAAAGCTCACACAAAATAGCTGTTCAAATTCATGCTTATGCTTGTTTTCCCTCTTTGACTTGGACATCTTGAATTAGATCTTTCCTTTCCTTTGAACCTAATGTTCCTTCTACAACCTGATGTCCTCTGAATGACAGATGGCATCATATTGTTTCAGTTCATTTTGTTTACAATGTATCTGCTGTCACTAGCTTTGTTTCATATATTTTAATGGGTTTAGCAGCAATGTTTACGTTGGCCAAGAGTGACTGGAGATGGACACCAAATCACTTACTGTCATGGTTTTCATTGTATTGGCATTTAGTTTGTGGTTTTTCAGATAACTAGCTCTCACAAGTTTTTGGTGGTAGTCCTTTATAAAAGTTGCTGGCAGTCAGTCTTATGGCAACACTTTTCTGAATTTTATCTGTTTTGTGATATTTTGGAGATCTTAATGTATCTTCAGATCTGCTTAACTCTTAATTCGGTAAAATGATTCTTTCTGAAGTGCTTGCACCCAATTTCTTCAACTGTTTCATATAAGAATGAGATATACTAACTGACAGTATGCCAATGTGGACTGGTTGGAAGATTTATTCCTTGAGATATTTGAGCCAGTTCGTGTCGGCAGTTGTTTCATTCACTACATAGGAAGATCTAGTGGTTAGGTGTTAAAGAATTGCTCAATTTTATGTAATGATGCACTAAGATGACGCTGAAGTCTGTCAATTGATGTAATCGCAAGACCAGCTGAAGTGTTTGTTAGAACATGTTGCACCTACTCTTCGTTGATTGCACTGAGGGGTGTCTTTCATTTGGATGTAAGACAAGAATTGTACCATTTTTTGGATGTTGTGCATATCCAATATAGAAATTGGGTAAAAAATTTGCATGGACTACATTAATCATAGCAGATTATGGCTCATTATACAATTATTACAGTGAGATGTCTGGATGAAGCAAATGATGTTTGTGACTTTTATGGTGACCTTGTTCATCAATACTTTCTGCTATGATCAGGTAAATGATACATTGATTTTACGCTGATGTCTTTTCATTTCTTTTTCTTCTTTGCAAGTTGTTTTCTTTAATGTCACAACTTCTCATATAAAAATTGATGTTCTCATATAACTAACACAGGCTTACTTCCTCGATCTTCTCTTTTTTTTTCCCTTTTCATAAGTATAGATAAATCTTGTCATGATTTTGCTTATATATGGTCCTCATATACACCTCAAATGCTGATGTCAGATTTATTTATTTTTAATGCCAGGGGATATCGCCTTCTGAAATTATTCTCTTTACTTTTATGTTTTAAGGCATTCTTGTCAGTTGTTTCATCTTAATTTGTCAACATCTTGATATCACTCTTGCAGAGAGAATGGTGCAATATGATGTTGATCAGAATGGTCCAATTGTTGTTTTCCCACTTGTAGGTCATGCTGGAGAGAGATACTGGCCGCCCCCGTGGATTTGGATTTGTGACATTTTCTGATCCTCGTGCTGTTGATACTGCTATCAGTGAGATGCATGGACATGAGCTGGATGGACGAGTCATCTCAGTGAACAAGGCTCAGCCTAAGATGAGCACAGATGACACTGCCTATGGCTACAATGGAGGGGGATACACAGCAGGCAGCAGAGCTGGTTATCGTGGTGATGATGGGCCACCACCCGCAGGGCGTTCTGATGAATGCTTCAAGTGTGGTAGTCTTGGACATTGGGCACGTGAGTGCCCTTTGGCCGGGGGAGGCAGTGATGGTCGTTTCTCTTCTCGCTCGAAGTTCGGCAGGGGTGGTGGCCGTGGGGATCGTGGTAGGGGGCCAGATCGCTACAGTGATCGCTATTCAGATGATCGTTATGATGGGGGTCGTTATGGGGACCGAGATCATTTTGGTAACAGGGACAGTCGTTATAGTGGTGGCCGTGATCGATATGCTAATGATCGTTACGGACCTCCCGGGGATCGTTTTTCGGGTGATAGGTATGGAGGTGGACCTGATCGTTACCCGCAGAATGGATACGTCAGGGAACGAAGCTATGAACGAGATGGTCCGCATGGTGGTGGTACCTATGATCGAGAGGGAGGGCCAAGAGGCAGTGGCTATGACAGGGATGGACCACGTGGTGGTGGCAGTGATAGATACGGGAGTGGTGGCCCTGCACGTTATGATGGTGGTGGAAGTTACAGGGACAGGCCCAGGCCATATGATCGACCAAGTAGGGGTGGGCGCCCACCATCTTTTGATGTTCGCTATTGATGAATGTAGGCTGTTAACAGTTAACCTGCAGTTGTTTTTCCTGACTTTGCTCTTTGCTACTCTAGGGTTGATTGTGGAACAATGCAGTGGTTTTTGGTTTTGTTAATATAAGGATGGAAGATCTGTTCTGTCCTTTTGCTTTTGGAATCATCTGAATCCATCTGGCAATGTTAGCAGCTATATGATAGTTTGTCTTATACATTCAGATTGACTCAGTGTCTTGATATTCTTCCATCTGTTGACCTGGTGGATTGTTGCAGTGCAGGCTGTTATAGTTTCTTTCTGTTGATACTCGCACACTTTGTGTTGGTCGATGTGGTAACCATTCACTGACTACTGAGAATACTTTTCTGATCAGTATAGACTCTTGCATTCTGATATGCTCCTAGATCAGCTCGTGTTTAACTAGTCTTGTGCTCCTCTAATGTCGCCATTGGGTGGGTTAGCTTTGATTGGCTCCAAGTTTTCTATGCCTGTAATGCAAGTTTGAGCAAGGTGTTAACTAGCCTGATGCCTGGGCATTATGTTGATCCTGTTTATTGAGATTGAATGCTCGTTGTGTGGTTGAATTTTGAAAGTGCTCATATATTGCTCAGCACAGATAAGGGTGATCTGAGATGGTGTTGAGAATGATGTGCATGTTTTGGCAAACCCCCTGATGGCAGTGTGCTTTGTGGACGTTATCTTGCTCCCTCTTTTTTTGGGATCATTCTTTTAGGTGATGACTCTTGTGGTATTAACTTGTCCAAAGCTTAGACATTTGTATTGGAATCTCACGTAAATAAAGCCCTGAGTGTACAGTTAATTTCATGGATTGGGTTTTTTTTTTTTTTGTATCTCTTTTTATGGCACCTTTAAATGTTTGAGACTACGCGATAAATGACTGCAAATTAACTAATTTAATTTAAGTCAACGTGATATTATTTATAAAATTAAGAATCTAAATAGATTTGATTAATCGGTTTGAATCGAGTAAGAGCTTCAGAATTTATTGAATTGATATCTTTCAAATTAAAATTGATTTGGTTTATAATCTTTAAAATGGAATCATTAGTGAATCATTTCGGATCAAATCAATTTTAAATCCGATTGATTCTATTTTCTAATTGGATCTTAACACATCTAATTTGAAGTATTCCTTAGTACAAATCTTCTTTTTTTCTCTTGAGGTTGTGGTTTTAGAAAAAAAAAAAAGTCAAATAAATAAATAAACGTGCTCCCTGATCTTTTCTCACGCTCGAATGATTTGGGTTGTCCAAAGCTATCCATCCACCATTTGGATGTCTTTTGTGACATGTTGATGCTTTGGTGGATCGTCCAAAATCCCCACCCATAGATTTAGTGGCATCCCCTATGAGCTCGGTTAAGCAATCCGCTACAAGTCATCATCGGCATCTTATCTGTCTCGTGAACCCATCCTTGAAAGTGACAAGGCAATGGATTAAAAGATTCCCAAGCCACTTCGTTCAACAGTAAGTAAGTAGTCAACCATTGGACCATTCTTCCTCAACTACTCTTGAGGGTTATCACCAATCGTTACAGTTCAATAGATTCGAATTGAGAGGGTATGTTAGAGCGGTGCTACAATTTAGGTTACTTAGGTTGTATACAACCAAATTTATGGATCGAATGTTTTTTATTTGAAATTAATACTAAATCGGATTATAAATGCTACGACGAATATAATGCTAAATCGGATTCGATCGGGTTAAACTAGGCTCTGATTAAGTTTGAGTTTGGTCTCGAGCTAGCACTAACTCGACTCAACTTAGAGTTAAACCTTGAACCCAAAGACCTAATAATTGGTTAGGACCACTCTGCATTCAAGTTGACGCATCTATTTGACACTGAGATGTGATTGCTTGGAATTTGCTATCATCAAGATGGCAATGGCAATGTTATGATTGGTTTTTCTCTCATTTCAGAAAACTTGAGATTCTATTCAAACATGTTTTTTCCATAAAACAAAGAGAAAAAATGATACGAACATTTATGTTTCTTCTTTCTCCGGCAAATGGGAGGTTTTTCTTTTCCTTGTCAGAAACTTCTTTTCCACTGTCTCTCTTTTTCTTTGGCTTTAGAACACCATTGACCAATGGTGTTCCGATAGTTTCAATCGTAGTGGGGATCTTTCACTTTCTAGTATCAGAGTCAATGATGATGTTCCAAGGAAATCAAATAGTAGAGGGTCCTTTCTTGACCCAACTCCATCAAACCTCAGATTCTACCTTTCTGAACATGGCAGGGGAAGAAGACATCCTCATATGCTCTTCTCAAAGTTCAAGAAAGTTGAAGCCAGCAGATCAGTCTGACCATTAGAACCAGTGAAGTCACTGTGATGGGGTGTGTACATCATGTTGCTTCATAGAAAGGTTATGCAGACTCTGATGAAGAAGATCCCAACTAGTTGCTGTTGATGGAATGTCATATTTCAAATCTCAATCACCTTTTAATTGATTGATGCTACTGACTTTTATTGGAGTTAATTATTGATGTTGATATTTTATATATATATATATATATATATATATATATATATATATATATATATATATATATATATATTCAAGCCCAATAAGTAGAAAAAAAAATGTTAAACACCTAAAATAATAGGTATTATCAAAGATTGAGAGTTAAAAAACTAAGCCAAAAAATTTTATATGTTAACCTCGACTTAGATTCATCATTGATATTAAAAAGTGACATCTTAGCTTAATACTAAGTTAGAAACTTTGATTTTATACTTAAACAGATGATAATATACAATAATCACTCGCTAAAGATTGAAAGTATAGAATATCATCTGATTAGTTTACATATAAAATACTGATATCACGATGATAAATGGATTCACTTACTAAAAATTAAAGGCTTGATTAATTGATAAAAATTTTATCAGATCATTGAAAGATCTTGGAATTAAATTTTACCTTCATTATTTATCCCCTTAAAAAATATTTGAATAAATTTTAGCTATTGTCACCTAGCCAATTAATGATTGAAATTTTTTTCCTTGAGATCAGCTTAGTAGGTAAGTTTTTTTATTTGATTTACCATTTTTTTTATTGTCATAGCTGACTAATGATTGGAAAATTAACTATTTTAATTGTTCCTGCAGTGTGTGCCCAATATCTCATTTTTCTTTTCACTATTATTTCATTTTACTCATTAAGATGGTGAATATTTTAATTAAAATTATAAATTTACAATTACCAAATAATTTGACTATAATTATTAGAGTTTAGTATAAGTTGGTCCCTTTTGTAAATACATAGGGTTTGTTTTTCCTAATTTGTTGTTATCAAATATGAAATATTTATTATGGTGGCATAGAGGAAGTCATCAGTTTGAATTATAAATCCATCCCTCTCCGTTTTATGCATTGTTTGATATTTATGCAAATCTCCCTCCCTCCTCTTATTTGCTTGCATCATGATTTAGTATACGTCAAGTCTAGTATGATTTTTTTAATGATCATACGAGGAAATATTAGAATTTAATATATATTATATATCTTTTTTAATATATTAATATTATATTTAAATTATCCCTCCTCTTGTACATTATTATCGTCGTTTTCGTCATCGTCTGTTGTTCACCTACTATTATCGTTTATCATCCATTGCTTATTATCTACGGAGACAATACATGATAGGAAAAGGAGGACTATAGTGACAATGATGATAGAAATGAAAGCAATCAAAATACGACGAAAAGTATTAGAGAAGGAGGACTAGTTTGGATAGTTTTTAAGTTAGAAGATAATATTTGAGAAAAAAAATAAGAGTAATTTTATATATATATATATATATATATATATATATATATATATATATATATATATATATTCCGACTCAACTGAATTAAATCAAACAAATGCATTTTATATGGAGGAGATTATTCTCTCCTAATAAAAAAAGAAAAAAAAATCATATATATTAATAAAAATATAAATCATATATTCTTGTCGACCAGACGACTAGAATATTTCAATGTCAACGTTGTAATGTCATCGTCACGCCATCTCATTTCTACGTATGTCGACGGCAAGATTTGTCCTTTCCTCGTCTTGCTTCCGCCCGCGATTCCGCACAGCTTGAAGTCAAATCTCTTATTTTCCAGTCTCAGTCCCAACTCCCAATCCCCCATCTCTCCCTCCCCTCTCGCCTTCCATTTCATCCGAGCCGATCCCACCGCACCTGCCTCCGCATATTCCCCTGTTTTCTCGCTTCCTAGCTCTCTTATATAAGTGACACCAAGAGGCCGAGGACATAGACGACACAGAGAGCGATCACGGAGAGATCAGATGGGGAGATGGTTACGGATTCCTCTCCTTCTCGGGCTTCTCCTGGCCGTGGTTGTCGCAGGATTAGTCGACCGGTCCGACGGCGGGGTCACGAGTTCCTTCGTCAGGAACGCGAAGAAGGCCATCGACATGCCGATCGACAGCGACGTCTTCCGCGTACCGCCGGGCTACAACGCGCCGCAGCAGGTGCCTGCCTTTCTTCCTTGTGGTTAAAGCTGGCGCCTTTCATTGTTCTGTTCTTATTCTAGTTGCATCTTCCTGCTGTTGATCGTTCTTCGGATTGTTTTTGTTGGAGTACTTTGTTCGGCGTTATCTCAGATTGTTCTTGCGTTGATCTATGACCTTTTCTTTTGCCATCTTACGGTGTCAAGATCTAAATATTTGATCTTTTAACCGAATAGTAGTTCTTGTTGTCGCTCTGCTCTGCTCTGCCTTTTTTTCTCCTCGTTGCAAAAGACGAGCCTTGTTTTAGAACTTCTCCTTGCTGTGGCATTACCTAAGAATGTTCGTGTGTCGATCGATGCCCTTTTCTTTTGCTATCTTACTGATAACATTTCAAAATTGGATCTTTTACCTAATTGTTTGTTTCCATGAATAAATGAAATCCAAATATAACTCATATCAAAGGAGTATACCCTTTACCAGGGTTTTCTCTTGCTAAGAATGTCCTTGTCTTGTCTCATAATAAATGCAATCCTGTTCTTGCTTGGTCCGTACTATTTTCCATCTTCAATTTTACTGTGTATTGATTTCAAATCTTGATCTTTTACATGATGTATTCTTTCTATGTAATAATTGCAATCTATATATAACTACATCTGTTTTTGGGACAAGAATACTCCTCCAGTGGAAGATCAATTTCTATTTGATTTGTCGCATCATCATAAGCAACTCTTGTTGTTTCCTCTCCTCGAAGGTGCACATTACCCAAGGGAACCATGATGGCTCTGCCATGATCGTATCATGGGTGACCGAGGCTGAGCCTGGCTCCAGTAAGGTTCTTTATGGCACTGACAGCAACAAGCTTATCTTCTCTGCTGAAGGCAAGCATACTCGATACGAGTTCTACAACTATACCTCAGGCTACATCCATCACTGCACCATCAGGAAATTGAAGGTGATTGAGTAATCATTTTCTTTTCTTCCTTCTTTCTCTCTTTCTAATCTGTATGATTGATTCACACCGCCTGCCTCATCACTTGTTTCTCTTTGTTCTTTTGCTACAGCATGATACTAAATACTACTATGCTGTCGGCATTGGACACACAGTTAGAAAGTTCTGGTTCACCACCCCACCTAAAGTTGGTCCAGATGTTCCTTACACCTTTGGTCTTATAGGTATATTTTTTCTTATACTATCTTGATTCATGTCACTGTGATGTTGTATTGCTGCATGCAAAAGTAGTCCTTCCATTGCTGGTGACTTCTGATCATCCTATTCAATGTCAGTGAAATTTTGGAACTTGGATTTGACATGTCTGTTAAATTTGCTGCAGTTGTGTGT